CAAATTTTTTTTCTTAATTGATAATAAAGGTGGTTGTGTTTCAATTATTCCATGTGAAAGAAGTTTTAGAGTTTATAGTTTAATTTCAGTTATAATGAAAACTACCCGCACTTCTTGCTTGTCTATAGCGATGTAGAGTGAGTAGTTCACGTATACCCTTCAGTGAAGGGTGAACATATGTATATTATTGGTTAACTTTTGGAAATGTTGATGTTTTATTTACATCTTTATCTATATACGTATTATAAGCTTCATGCATGATACAGTGATGTGTGTAGTTTTGGTGTTGTGCTTGGAATTATGTCATCAGTGTATCATCAACCTGTCGGTAAAACAACCATGACATTCCTATCGGTATGGTTTATCCTCCACCGGAACACTAAGGATGTTTAATTGGTGCATGACACTAAACCTAAATGATCTTCATGAATGACTTGTCCTTCTGGATTATTAGGGTTGTTCATATATAATAAAACTGCCAGAGGAATATCTACTATGTTCCTATCGGTATGGCTAGTCCTCCACCGAAACGCTAAAGATGTTTTACTGTAGCATGCAATAACTATTAGATTAATGACCTAAGTGATCCTCATGAATGACTTGTTATTCTAGATTACTAAGATCATTTAACTGGTACAAATGATAATATTCCCAGTCGAACAACCACGGCATTCCTATTGGTATGGTTTATCCTCCACCTGATGCTGAGGATGTTTAACTGGTATATATGTTTCATAGATGAAGTCAAATGAATAATTCAGGTATTCCTCATGAATGACTTGTTTTTCTTGTTTGCTTGGATTAATCATTTGATACATCTATAACTAGCTAACCTAAAAAGTTGTTGTGTTATGAATTAGTACCACCAGTTAACCTAAGAAATGGTTGTGTTATGGTTTATTATATATGCAACTACAATTATAGAGTCAATTGAGTAATTCAAGTATTGCTCATGAATGACTTGTCCTTTTGGTTTGCTTGGATTAATCAATTGACATGAATACCTCCAACTAACCTAAGAAGTTGTTGTGTGATGGTTTATATATATCAGACCTACCAATTGACTTTCCAATAAAATGGAAGTTAATTGTTGTAAGGTAGCATTTCCAGTACTTAACCAATATCAAGCATATGGAATCCCTAAACTAAAGGGTATCTTTTATATTCTTGTCATTAATACGCTTACCTGCATACTTTGTTTAATTAAACTAGTTGTTAACCTAAGCTCACATTGCAAGCTATCAAATGATACACTACTTCAAACAACAACTTTACTATTTTTATTTTAAAATCTAAATTACTAAAACTCTTCATGGGATCGATACTTGGACTTAAACCGAGAAAACTACAATTTGACCACTTATACTTGGATGTATAATATAATTCAGATCACAAAAGAGTGTGAATCAAGTTTTTGGAGCCATTGCCGGGGAGTTATGGTAATTTTAAAAAAATAATAATAACAATAATAATTACAATATATATGTTTATTAGTATTGTATGTTTATAGTTTGTTTGTTTATAGTCTATGTCTATTCATTCATTAATAGGTTCTGTAAATCAATCATCTCCCTCATCTTCTTCATCTTCATCTACACAAGAATCCTTTGACTTAAGTATGACTAGAAACGTACCTAGGGAAGAACAACTTAGAGAACATGAAGTAGTACAAAATATTCGACCATTAAGAGAATATTTACATCCTACGCGAACTAATGTCCCTTCATGTTTTGCTTTTCCAACAAACGCTCCAAATATTAATATTAAATCAGGAACAATACAGTTGCTACCATAGTTCCATGGTTTAGAAACTAAAAACCCCTATGTTCTTATGAAAGAATTTGAAGAAGTCTGTGGAACTTTGCAAGATAATTCTGAAATGGTTAGATTAAAATTTTTTCCATTTTCATTGAAAGATAAAGCTAAACTATGGCTTAACTCTTTAAGAGCAAATGTGATCACAAGTTGGCAAGCTTTACAAACAGAGTTTTTGAAAAAGTTTTTTCTTGTGCATCGTACTAATGCATTAAGACGTCAAATAATGAACTTTTCTATAAAAAAAGGTGAAACTTTTTATCAATGTTAGGAAAGATTTAAAGATCTTCTCCAAGCTTGTCCACATCATGCATTTGAAAGCTGGATTTTAGTCAGTTTCTTTTATGATGCACTTCCATCTGCAATGCAACAATTTTTTGAAATGATGGCGCAAGGAGAATTTATGAATAAAAACCCTGAAGAAGTATTTCAATTTTTTGATACTATTTCAGAAAGTTCCCAGATATGGGATTCAACTTCTTCAAACATTTTTGAAAATAAGCCATCTACATCTGAAAGAGGAAAATATATATTGAAAGAAGATGATGATCTAAGAGCTAAAATGACTAATTTATCTCAAAAATTAGAATCCTTAGAAATGAAAAAACTTAAGCAAGTAGCAATTTTTTATTCTACTAGTCAAATATGTGAAATTTGTGCATTGTCAAGATAGAGAAATCATTCAAATTTTAGTTGGAGAAATACACAACCTACAAATCAAACACAAGGCCCACCACAACTACAAAATTAACAACAATATTAGCCATATCAACCTCCTCAGAGAAGAACTCTGGAAGATACTATGTATCAATTTATTCAGAGTCGGATGAGTTTCAAAACTCAAACAACTCAAGCATTTAATGATTTTAAAGCTCAAACTTCACAGAGTATTGAAGATATTAAAAGTCATCTAGATAAATTAACCCAGTCTTTGAGTACTTCGGAGAAAGAAAAATTTCCATCTTAACCTAAACTTTTGCAAAGTAAAAGTCAAGCTATTGCTATATCTTATGAACCTTGTCCAAGTCAGGTACAAGCAATCACAGCACTAAGAAGTGGAAAAGTCATTGAAAAAACTATTAAACCTAAAATTTTAAAGAAAATACGGAAAGAAATTCCTGTCCTCCTATTAACCCTAATTAGTGTGTAACTATCAACTTTGTAAGATAAAACAACTAAAAAGTATCAATTAGGAGTAATTATAATTTGTGTGGAAATTATAGTTTTAAATACTTTAGGTTTAAATTTTAGGGTCTAATGCAGAAATACCAAAAAATATGAGGCAATTTCGCAAAACTTGAAACAATAAAGGACAAAAGTGTAATATAGACACATGGAACATCCAGCCCGCGACACATGGATCAACTGCAAGACACCTTGAAGCTTAAGAACAAGACACCTGGAATCTATTGCAAGGCAACACCATCTAGATGGTGATCCTAGGGTTCGGATGGTCACTAGGTGGCAAAGCCTTACCTTTCCACCTCATGCTTGCATTTTGCCTATATATAGGAATGTTCTCCACCATTTCAAGATGGTCAGCCATCCAAGAGATCCAAAGGGAGAAATCCAAGGGAAGAAAAAGAGAGAAAAATAAAGAAATAAAGAGAGACTCAAATACCAAGTTGGTCTGTCCTATACCAATATTCTGTATTTCTACATTTCTATTGTATCTTTCTATTCAGATAGTTGAATTACCGCCACTTTTTTGTCTTAATTGATAATAAAGGTGGTTGTGTTTCAGTTGTTCCATGTGAAAGAAGTTTTAGAGTTTATTGTTTAATTTCAGTTGTAATGAAAACTGCCCGCACTTCTTGCTTGTCTGTAGCGATGGAGAGTGAGTAGTTCACGTATACCCTTCGATGAAGGGTGAACATATGTATATTATTGGTTAACTTCTGGAAATGCTGATGTTTTATTTACATCTTTATCTATATACTTATTATAAGCTTTATGCATGATATAGTGATGTCCGTAGTTTCAGTGTTGTGCCTGAAATTATGTCATCAATGCATCATCAACCTGCCGGTAAAATAGCCATAGCATTCCTATCGGTATGGTTTATCCTCCATGGGAACGCTGAGGATGTTTAATAGGTGCATGGTACTAAACCTAAATGATCCTCGTGAATAGTTTGTCCTTCTGGATTACTAAGATCGTTTAACTGATATAAATGATTATATTCTTAGTCGAACAACCACGGCATTCCTATTGGTATGGTTTATCCTCCACCGGAATGCTGAGGATGTTTAACTCGTATATATGTATCACAGATGAAGTCAAATGAATAATTCAAGTATTCCTCATGAATGACTTATCCTTCTAGTTTGCTTGGATTAATCACTTGATACATCTATAACCAACTAACCTAAGAAGTTGTTGTGTTATGAATTAATACCACCAATTAACCTAAGAAGTGGTTGTGTTATGATTTATTATTTATGCACCTACTATTATAGATTCAATTGAGTAATTCAAGTATTCCTCATGAATGGTCTATCCTTCTGGTTTGCTTTGATTAATCAATTGACATGAATACCACTAGCTAACCTAAGAAGTTGTTGTCTGATGGTTTATATACATCAGACCTACCGGTTGAATTTCCAGTAAAATGGGAGTTAATTGTGGTAAGGTAGCATTTCCAGTACTTAACCAATATAAAGCATATGGAATCCCTAAACTAAAGGGTATCTTTTATATTCTTGTCATTAATACACTTACCTGCATACTTTATTTAATTAAACTAGTTGTTAATCTAAGCTCACATCACAAGCAATCAAATGATACATTACTTCAAACAATAACTTCACTATTTTTATTTTAAAATCTAAATTAATAAAACTCTTCGTGGGATTGATACTTGGACTTAAATCGAGAAAACTACAATTTGACCACTTATACTTGGGTACATAATATAATTCAGATCACAAAAGAGTGCGAATCAACTGTTTATTCATATGACACTGAAAAGGCGTATTAGAATCGTCTTGAATTGGCTTAGACAAATGAGTATCTTTATCCTAGACTGTCTGTGGTGAAAGAATAGCTTAATTTTGGACTATTTTTGGTGAACAAACAACTTTGTTTTGGACTATCTGTGGTGGACGAACAACTTCATTTTGGACTGTTTGGGGTGAATGAACAGCTTCATCTTGGACTTTTTGTGATAAATGAATAGCTCTATCCTAGAATACTTGCGGTGAACAAACTGCATCAGATTGGACTACTTGTGATGAACAAATCTCATTGCAAATTGCTGGCGATGAACGAACATCCCTAAAAACTGCTTCAGGCAACTCATGCTCAACCGGTGTTTGTAGAAAATTCTGCCCCAGAACATTAGCATTACAATCCTTTTGATTCAACACATCAACCTTTATTGTTAAACTCAAACCATCACCTTGCTTTAATCTTTCCTCTTGGTATGAAACTGAAACATTCTTGGCAGTATTATCTTGAGATTGTTGTACTGCTGGCTAATAAGTTTTATTAAAATTTGGTTTATCAACATTTGGCTCCTTGTTTTGCTGGGCATCTAATACCTTCCACTGCTTCGAAGTTGATGGATTATTCTTGAACGTTACTGCTTTATTCTGGGCTTGATTATGTGGTCCAGTTAGCTTCATCATATCCTTTCCAATCTTTGTCTTCCCCTTCCTTAATCTTTCATCATTTTGCAAATATGGATTCTGATATTGCTCATTAGATTTCTTCTTTCTACATTTATAATCCATATGGTCTTGCTTAAAGCAATTAGGACAATATTTGACTTCCTTCTTATAAACAATCTTCTGCCATCTTCTTTTGTAACCCCCCATTTAAAGCCAAATCCTTTGTGGATTATCCTCCATTACATCCATTTCCACACATGCTCTAGCCACTGTTGGCCTTGTAAGATTCATGGTTAGCCTGTCAAAAGCTAATATCCTCCTCAATGGACTCAAGATTGTAGCAATACATTCATTTGTAAAAAGACACATGGGCAACGATGGCAAAGATACCCACATAGGCACGACTGATGGCTCTACCCCTAAAGCAAAATTAGGTATCCACTTAAAGAATCAAAATATGTGACCTTCAATATATGTAACATCCTTGAGCCACACCTTAACATAATCTTCAAAAAGTGAAAACCTCATAACTATATGCCTTGCATCCAAATGTCCAACAAAGAATTCCCCTTTGATGCCCCATTTGGTGTTGATAAATTCTTTGATAACCGCTAGAGATGGTCTTCCACAGGAACACTTTGCAATCAAAGATTGCTAAAAAAGGCTTCTCTAGATCATTCACGTCCTCTCTAGACTAGAAAACAATATGTTGTCCTATGTCAAAAATAGCTTTTTTAGGTTTTTTGGATTCTTGATCTATTGTAGGTTTGAAAAAAGGTGTAATATGATGGTTGATGAATGATTGATGCATAGGTTTTTGGTATATCAAGTGGGTCAGGTGGTTTTGGTTGTTGTAGAAAAGGTAGAGACAACCAAATAGAGTGGAGGGAAGTCAGAAGAGGTCAGGGTCAGTTCAAATAGTTAGAAATAGTCAAAGAGTGATAGAGAGAGAGAAATACAGCACAACAAAGCCCCACCAAACTACTTCCATCCAGCTTTCTAGCAACTTCTATTTCTTCTACATTTATGTTATTCCTTTTTACTTGGATGGTTGAACCTCTCCCACCTTTGTGTCCTAACCAATGATAAGAGTGGTTGTGTTTCAACTATTCCTCAAGGATGTATTGTTTCTATTTTTTTTTTGTGTTGTAATGGAACTATTTTGCACCTCCTACTCATATATAGCAATGGGGCATGAATAGTCTGCTTTTACACTTCAGTGACGGGTGAACATATGTAAGATATTGTTTAAATTATGGAAATGCCGATGTTTTAACTATGTTTTGGTGGATATATACCTACCATGCTGATGGATGGTTACATTTCTAATATGCTCATGGTTATAAACACCGAGCAGTACCTAATGCTATAAACCTTACTTTCTACTAATTATGTACTTCATGCATGATGTAGTGATGTACGTGATTAGGCTTTATTTAATAGTCAATAGATTAGTTATAGACGGGTTAAGTCCCGGCATAGCCAATGCTTTTGATTCAATTCATAAATTAAAATCTCGTCATTAGTGAATCATCAACCTACCTGTTGAATAACTATAGTGTTGCTCTTGAATGGCTTGCCTTCTGGTTCACTAGGGTTGTTTAACTAATGCATGGTATAGAGATTCGGATTGAATAATTCAAGTATTCCTCCTTAATGACTTGCCTTCTAGTTGACTCGGATTATTTTATTGTTGCATTGAATATATACATGTTGGCTAACCTAATCAGTTGCTGGATACGGTTTAATATACATTATACCTACCAGTTGACTTTCTAGTAAAATGGGGGTTAATTGTTGTAAAGTGGCATTTCCAGTACTTAACCAGTATAATGCACGTGGAATCCCCGAGCTGAATGGTACCTTTTAATTCTCGCATTTCCATAGTTTTAATTAAGTTTATTTTATTTGTTCTAAGCTCGCACCACAAGCTATTTTATTACATTTTGTATTCGTAACAACTTCACCATTTCTATTTTGAATTCCAATTATTAGCTCCATGTGGGTTCAACCTCGGACTTAAATCGAGTATTATATTGCAATTTGACCACTTATACTTTGATGTACAACATTATTCAGGTGGATAGTCGATCATTGCATGTATTTCAAGGATGGTATTTTGTATGTGCTTGGGTGTTGTATACTGATGTATGATGTTGGATATGAGGTTTGGTTCATGCATGAAGGTACATCTTCATATTTATGTGGGTGTGTAAATTATGTTATTATTGTTGTAAGAAAAATTGAAGTGGGCTGGGTAATTAGAAATCTTGTTAATTGTTCTTGAATTTTCATGAAATTCATGGGCATGAAATTTTCATACAATTTTATGATTTTATTGGGAAATTATGCAGATTCAATTACATTTTGGTTACTCTAATTTTATGAAAAAAGTTTACTTTGGATGTAATGGATTCGAGTAGGTAATCTTACTCGCTATGAATGGATTATTTTCATGTGACTCAAATTGAGTATAACTACTAGTTTAATTGGTTTAAGTAATTGATATTACTAGATGTGAAAGAGTTATTGAATGTTACATGATTAAATTAAGAAATTTGCTTTGAGTAAACCAATTCAAGTAAAGTAGTATTATTTATTAATACATGAATGGGATTTTAAATAATGGGTACTAGGTACAGGGATGAGCACCGTAAAGAACGCTGCTCAAAAAGCTATGGCGGAGGTATCATCAACACGATAATTTTTTTGAAAGGTACGTATGTACGCTAACCTTTGTTCTTATCTACGTTTAAATGTTTGATTTTTTTTATGTGACTGTCTAACTTATAAGTTCTATTGTGAATAAATGGATTAAGTGTTCTAATGTTATGATGGGAGCAAGATGTCTTCGAGACATATTATAATATTATGGTTTGGTTATCTGTGCAACAAGCAAAAAGAAAAACCAAATGGTTTGAGACAATAAAGTGTCGGATGTCTAAGTGACATATTTTATTTGTGTAGTTAATACGTCAAAGGAACGAAAGCTAATTGTTAGAATGGGTTGTTGCTTGAATGGTTCCATTGTATTCCCTATCTCAAAACACCAACCCGGACAATGTATATATGGATTATATGTGGGTGAATGTCTCTCTCACTTGGGTTCGATGCAAGAAAAGGGAAAACGGGTGTGTGGAATGAAATGTGTGTGTGTGTGTGTGAACAAAAGTGCTCCCCAATTGCAGGGAGACTTTTGGGTGTCATGTTTTACTTGGAAATCGTATTCCAAGGTTGTCTCCTTAGGGAAGGAGGTGAATTATGTTGAAGGTGATTTTTTAAGAAAAAGAAAAGTGTAAAAATCTTTTGTTGTTTGAGCTTGGTTTGTGCTTGTATCTTGATGGAATTTGAAATGTAAACAAGTGTTGTCTAATTCGAATAGGTCATTCCAATGGGAATGTCAAATCAATTCAAGACCTTCCTCCAATGGTGTCAAGATGTTCGATTGATTCGTAGGAAGCGCTGGACCAAATGGAGGTGAGGATTCATGCATACCCCGTGATAAATCTACAGTGTATCAAGAACTCACAACCATGTTCACACTCAACCTAGTCAAACCTAATCAACGTACACTACGACGAGGGAAGAAGAGTTGATTTAACACAGCCAAGAGGAATTGTCCCTTGGATTAGCCAACTTAAAGCTTAGCTACTCGTGAATAAAGGAAAGACATGAATAATGTAAAGAGACACAATGGAGAAATGAAGATTGAAACTTAACTAAATGTAATAAATCTTAAACTATGAAGAAAAATATTCAATATCCATTTTAAAAGCTTAAATACAACTATGGTAGAAACTAAGACACTCAAGTAAACTTGAAATGTACTAGAAATAAAAGAAATTAAAGACAATAAATGACGCTTACACAAGTCTTACTGAAGATTACAAGTGAAATGCGTAGAGGAAATGCAAAAATCTAAGCTAAAACTTCATCTTCTTCCTTGAGCTTTCTAAACTTAGATAGCCTCTCCTAAAACGCTTGTGTAAATGCTGAATATATGGTGTAAGACCTCTGCAATTTCATCCATGGATGTTCCCACAGCTTGTGTGAAAGGCCTCCCATCCATAGGAGGCTGAGTTGATGGCATTATGCAGGCTAGGACAGGCTAGCCTGCATTTCCCATGCTTACCTCTTTTCTCTCCTCCTCATAAATGCTTGGGCCTCTAAAGTCCAAGCCTGGGTGTGGGGAGGCATGTAGATGTGTAAGGGATGTCAAGGGATAAGTGGAAGAATCATAGGTGGGACCCCAAGCAAGTGGATCATGAATTGTAGGTTGTTTGGGCATTCTGAGCAAAACCTTCCGGAAGGTTCATTCCCGTAGGCTAAACCTTCCGGAAGGTGCCAGCTTAGGACTAGTTTTTGTAAAATTCTCATAACTTTTGATCCAACTGTTCGATTGAGCTAAATTTTTGAGACAGTATAGAGGACATCCAGATCTACAACTTTTGTGTTTTGTACATTTTCATATTCAAAGTAGATCATGGTGAAAATGGGAAAAATAGAGGTATTATATAAAAAATGGGGAAAATAGTGGGCTAAACCTTCTGGAAGGTTTATAGCCAAACCTTCCAGAAGGTTTTCATCCAAAATGCATTTTTCTTGGTTTCTTCACCTTCCAACCCTCCCAATCCTCATGTAATGTGTCCATCTCTTCACCACTCATTCACACTTAGTTGCGGGGTTTCGAAATTCATCATTTACACTATAATTACCTGCAACATCAAAATTTCCACATTATTCACAACTTCGACTAAGTTTAAGTTATTAAATGCAATGTTAAGTTTAAATGCATGTAATGAGGTCATTAAGTATGCTATATTATGCGCTCATCACACCCCCAAACTTAAGCATTGATAGTCCCTAACAAACTAAATGTAAAAAAATTAGGCAAACAAACATAAACCTATTCTAATTCCGCTGTTTCATTTACCATATGCAACAAGCCTTTAAACCTCTATGTGATCCCTAGTGGATGAGTTATGTCTTGTGAATGTTTTTAGTGAAGGTACCTATAAACTTCTTTTCCTCATATCGAACAATTGAAACATATGATCTTATCATTGCTAGCACTGGGATGTCAACAATACCTTTGTCTAATACACCTGAACTAATCACACATGAATCATATCATAGCCTTAAATTCTATTCTACTGTATCCACATATACATTCATTTTCAAAATCGTGTGTGTGTGAAATGGACATG